CAACTCGGATGGTGCAACTAAGCCACCAGATGACCCTCCACCTGCCTTTGCAATGTTGTATGATTTATAAAATATTAGCGCTTCATTTTCGCTTCCCAATGTGGTGTTTGTGTTCACTAGCATTTCTTGGCAGACAATACAGTTGGTACTTTTAAGGCTATGTTGAGCTAAATATCCAGCGAAGTATTTTATACTGCACAATTTCAATGATTGCTCGTTCAAGGTTATGTTAGTAAGTACAACCTCTTTTACAGACGTCTCCGTTGACATTGGATGAAGATGGTTCTTTAAGAAGGTCTTCAGTCGGCACTTGTAAAGGAGCCAAAGAGCTTAATAAATCTTCATGCTGCATATCCAATAGGTCCTCAACCATTTCTTCAGCGTCTAAAGTTTCGCAGTTGCCATGCCGAGCAGGTCGCAGCAGCGAATTTACTGCTTTAGACCGAAAACTAGTGTGGAATGTTCGCGCTGTTGGGTTTGGATTATATCCTCCTTTTTGTCGAACGGTAGAGAAGAAATGTTCGAGAATATCCTGGTTTAATTTATTCCTTAATATGTATACTAAACCATCTCCTTCTTGTTCACTCTTAAATAACAACAAATTACCTGCTATGGTTTGCTCCAAGCCCGAAAAACAAGGTGGTTTAGATCTTGCACCATTTTTATCAGCTTTGACAAGCTTCGGCACCCATTCCTGAGCTTTATGCAATGTATCCAATACCGTAGCATTTTTAGAATACAATGCGCAAGCATACGGGTTACTTGCATACAAGCGCTTGCTATTTAGGCGATCAAAGAGATTGTTGATGTTGTCAATAAATTGGGTTGTACTTTCCACGGACGTAGACGTTATTTCCTTAGTGACAATACACGTCCTTAAGACGCTTGCCACTGTATGGCTGAATACTTGTGTAGCAAGCTTAACCGACATTTTCTGGAACCCTTTAAGATACACATGCTTTTCGGTAATTTTTATCATAGCCCTACTCTTCTTGCTGTTATCAATACTCCAGCATTTTCTCACATCCTCAAAGCTGATTATGTTTTTATCCAATTGAAAATTAGCAGCTAATAAATTATTGCGGAGGCCTTAATAAGGTGGGGGGTGTCAAAAAGTGCTACAATTTTTTTTGTATTAACATGGAAGTATGGTGTGGTTTTGGTAACGCCTAAAGATTTATATGCACTCTGATTAGTAGTACCTTGATCGCATATTGTTGCTACTGGATGTAATCCAATCGAGAAGCAGTTTTCTACAACTTCAGCAATAATTTGCTTCAATTGCTTTGTAAGTGCACCCTGTGTGTGTTAAAAAATAGCAAAGCGCAATTTTCCAGGAAGCGTACAGACCTCTGGCCATGAAAACTAACGCATATCTCGCAATACGTTTCGTGCGCCCTAAGTGTCCCAAGTCTTCAAATCCTTCTATAAAATCTAAGGATTTATTGTATTCAAGCATTCTTTAATTGCCATTTCATCAAAACAGATAACACACTTTGGACCCAACCCAACCCAACCTTCCACTTTGGATTTAATCTGTTGTAAAAAGGATGTGTTGAATCCAGGTAAGAATTTTGACTGCCCTAACCATCTCTGAATTGTGCTTATTCCTGGTAGTATAATTTCCTTGCGTAGATGATTATAGGATGATGGACTTTTATAATAAAATGCCAGAGCAAATCTTTTTTCTTCAGGTAGCCATTTATTCTTTCTACCCTTCAATTACATATGCATTATAGTTTTACAGGACCTTAGAGGATATTTCCTCTGATTTATCATTTCTTCTAATTTTAGATTCTTCTTTCTTCGCAACTTAGAAATAATAGGAAATAAATGTAGCTTTAGTTTCTTTTTTCGAGGTGAATCTGGAAGGTGTGTATCTCCAGTAGTATCCAATTTCCGTTTGACTTCAACTTTTTCAGGCAAATTAATCAATTCCTCCACCCAGCTTGAAGGTTCTAGCGATGGTGTTCTTGACGGCAACGGTCGATGTAATTGGCTCTGCGGAGGGTACGCAAATGATTATTATTATTATTGCTGCCGGGCTGAGGAGAGCGACCCCTCTCGTTACCGCGACCTATAAGATCTATTGTAACTTTAGCCCTCCAAAGGTTTAGGGCAAATGTAGGTCCTTAATGAACCTTAGTATTGTAGTAAGGTCTTGAACCTTTATGTCGGTAGGTAACGGGGAGTTTTACCGAAGATGTTGTGTCTTAGACGGCCTCCTGCGACGCAATTGCACAGTATATGTTCAGCAGTTTCTGACTCGTCGTTGCATAGTCGACAAGTTTGATCCTCAGCTTGTCCAATGTGGAAGATGTGGTATTTTAGGGGCGCATGGCCGGTCAGGTAGCCTGAGAGCGTTCTTAGATCCCCTTTGCTGAGGCATAAAACCTCTTTGGTTTTGTTTTGCGACGGAGTTATCATACTCTTCGCTTGTCTGTGACCTGGAAGTTCTTTCCAGCGTAAGGCTATCTTTGAAACCTCCCAGTTGTGGATTATTTGTTTTAGGTGGCTTTTTTGTAGTCCACAACCAGGTTGGGGTCCAATGAAGGGCGTGTTTGCTGCCTCTTTGGCCAGTTTGTCGGCCTTCTCATTGCCCTCAATGTTGCTGTGACCTGGAACCCACCATAGGGTAACATCATTGCCCCTAGCGAGTTCTCTCAGGTTGTTGGTACACTCTCTGATCAGTGCGCAGTCACACGTGTAGGCCTGAATTGCCTGTAAGGCGGCCCGACTGTCTGTGAAAATGTTTATGGATGCACCTTTTTGTCCCTTCTGTAGGTTCAAAGCGGTGCAGAAGTTTATAGCAAGAACTTCTGCTTGGAAAATTGTTAAGTCCGAGCTGAGGGGCAATTTGATGTGACTATTTGGTCCACTGATGCCCATGCCTACTCCTGATCTTACTGTCTTTGAAGCATCAAAAGTCTTTGGCACACTGCATTTAAATTACCTCAAAATTACCCAACTTTAAGGCCTTGTGCAGCCGTTACCAGACCGGCGTCTGTAAAAGAAACGCTCCTGAAAGACAACCTACAGGTAAAAAAACGTAATCACTTCTTAACCTAACTTTCTTATTTGATGATGGAAAAACTGTGACAATACGTATACCATCAGAAATTTTCATCAGAAGTTTTGAATCTGGTAATGTTACCAACCTTTCCATTTTAACTCAGTTTATAAATTTTTTTAAAGATGTCTGTTTGATTAACCCATTAGTGCATAAAGTTATTCTTTTGATCAAAAAATTTTTTTGTATTTTCCTTTAATTTTATTATCTATTACATCAAAACAGAACTTTTTTTGAAAAATTTATTTTGCAACACGTCTCTTAAAAGGGCCACTAATAGGTTTTAAGGTTAACGATCGGCATTACTTAAAAGAAAATTTGAGCCAATAATAATAATAATAATCTCTTTATTAGTCTTACAATTAGCGTTGTGTAAACTCTTTACTATAATAACAATATAACATTAAATAACATTATATTTGCTGTTATTTCAAACAATTTTTTTACATCTCTGTTTTCTTAGTAAGTATGTACACAGTTCGAAATGATATAATTCGGCTGTCAAATACTTGTTAGGGCTACATATTTTGTGGACGTGTTGGCCACACTTAATACAGATAATATCTGCCACTTTTTCAGCACAATACAAACACTGATCTAATGTCTTTTTATTGTTTTTTAATATCACATTTCTTATTTGCTTTCTATATTCAGCAGGATTTATGGTATCAAACCTCTTTCTTTTTAACAAACATAATAATACACCACAATTAAAACCATATTGCTGTTTGCAATACTTTACAATCTCTTTTAATTTATACGTAACAAATGGGTGTGGACGAGATATAGGTCTTAAGAGACTCTGAAATTGTGATAAATATTGTAACGAACTTTGTTTGTTACTAGTTGACGGATCGAGAACATAAAACGTGTGCGTATTTATGTTCGCAACGGCTAAACACCAATGGTTATTATCCATGTTAATTAGAAAAATTAAACATGATGTAGTTGGACTAGGTTGATATGATGGTGTTAATCGCATACTTTGAACGGGTTCACAAGGAAATATTTTTATGGTATTATTGTTTTGTGATTGCACAAGTATTTCTAGGTAATAATCAATAACAAAATTATCTAGGTACATATTAAAATGGTTACGGTGTGGTAGAATTGATCTTGAGAAAGTTTCTTTGGGGAATTATTTTCATACTCTTTTGATAAGGCTATTTTCGTTAAGAATTTTGGCATAAATTGAGACGAAAAAAATTCATTGCAACAACCCGTTTTAACTTGAGTACATATATGCGCTCTTTTTACCTCTTCAATTATTTTAGAAAAATGGACATAGAATGTGTTTCCACTAACATTAGGCTCGTCTACATACGTTCTTCCAGTTTCTTGATCTTCATGTTCTTGAATATCAACCTGCACAGTATTTTCCAGTACAGCATCTTGGAAGAACGCAACAGAAAATTCGGTTTTCTCGGACTTTACAGGTGACAATGTAAATACTGCTATTTCTTTTATAATTGTTTCGACGAAGCAAACATATTCCGCATTTAGTAAAAGCTTAAGTATTTGTTTTAATAATATCTTCGTCTTTTTTTCTTTATAATCTGTATTTACTAATTGATATCTATTTTTGTGCACGTGGGAACAACATAACTGTATATGCGTAATGCCCGGGATACACGAGGCTAGTTTTGTAAGCTAGGATAGCAAGCTAGGTAAGCTAGATAACTGTCCTGGCTTGCTGTCCACGCTTGGAAGATGCTAGTGCTGTTTACATGATGCCAGTAATTTTAACCCAGCCAAGCCAGTACCATTGCAGACGGTTCACGGTATTGACGGTACAAAACGTCCGTGAAGTAAAATGAACTGCATTCGTAAGAAAAACACAATACGACTGAAACAGTTAATTCGGAAACTATGTCCATTTGCATTAGACGAATTACTAGAAGATGTATTAGAAAAACGTGTATAGACAAGACCATGGCTTTTAAGAAGGAATGAACGTGGATCATCTGCTTTACTTTTAAAAGAACTTTGCAATAACGATATAGGCGAGTACAAGAGTATTTTGCAAATGACGCCCGATTTGTCTGATATTCTGTTGAGTCTTGTGACGCCAAAAATACAAGGAATGGATACAATAATGAGACAGGCGTTACCTGCAAGAATAAAATTGGAGATCACTTTAGATTTTCTTTCGTCCGGTATTAGTTACAGGAGGCTTAGTCACTTTTATCGGGTTTCAAGATGTGCTATAGGCAAATTTATACCAGAAGTATGTGTCGAAATCTACAAGGTATTGGAAGAAAACATTAAGGTTTGTATTATTTTTTATTTATTAAAAATACATTTGGGAATAATAACAAAGAATGTGATGTTTTTCCACCTCCACAACATTATGCATTTTTGAATGCTGTGGTAATCACATCGAAAACGTTCGTTGAATCTTCATAGTCAATACTGAATGTCGTGTCTGAAGACTCGTGACTCGGTGTCTGGTATGAAAATGTTGTATTACTATAATTTAAATCCGTCTTTCGACAATGAGATAATGTAGCATTGATTTCATTCCGAGCAGTAATAGCCTGAATAGATGATAACATTTTAAGTTGGCTAGCTACAAATGCTCCAAAAATATCGTGTTCATTTTGTTGTGGTATTATTGTATGGTCTCTATTTAAATCATTCGTGAGCGACCTAATTTCGTTGACCAATGTTGCCACTTGCGCAATTTTTTTCTTTTTTGGGGCTGGTGTCTCTGACACTTTGAGCTGTGATTTAGATGTAGATGGTTTCGCTGCAGCTGGTATTGTTGTTTTCGTAGTTATTTCCGCGGACTTGTTGCGTTGCGTTATATTATTTGATGTAGACGTAGATTGTGAAAAATTTTCTGACATTGCATCATTGTCATCATTGTTAACATTATCGATATTCAGATTTTCAGTATTGGTTCGTTCTTCATCCACTGCTGACTCTTCACTGTCCTGAAAAAAAAACAATTATTTTACTAATTATAAACTGTATATTTTTACAGATCCCTACTAATTTCGAAGAATGGGCGGAAATAGAAAATGGATTTAGAAACAGATGGAATTTCCCATTTTGCTACGGTGCCATTGATGGAAAGCATATTCAAATTTTAGCTCCTGGTAATAGTGGACCTATATATTTCAATTATAAAAAAGTATTCAGTATAGTTCTTATGGAAATAGTTGATTACAATTAAAAATTAAAAATTGTTCCATATATAATAAACTGGAGAATAATCGTTTACCAAATGGTGGAGTGATTGTTGCTGATGCCGCATTTCCTTTAAAATCATACATTTTAAACCTTATCCAGGCGACAACTTAACATTGCCACAGAAAGTTTTCAATTACCGACTATCCAGAGCCAGACGTGTAATGGAAAATGCCTTTGGGATATTGGCAAGCCGATTTCGTGTATTTCAAAAACCAATAGCAGCTAATGTAGATACAGTGGATAAAATTGTATTAGCAGCATGTGCTTTGCATAATTGGTTGAGAAAATAAAATCGAAACACTTATCTAACCAGCAGGGATGTCGACCATGAAGATATTGAAACAGGAAACTCCCCTCTTGGCTCCTGGAGAACAGATACAGAAGGTTTACAAAGCATATGTCACCAAGGAAGTAACCATTCTTCGATTTCAGCAATCCAGAAAAGAGAAACCTTTAAAAACTACTTTAACAATAAAGGTGCTGTGTCTTGGCAATCAAGAATGATAAGATAATCATTAATTTTTATACCTAAACTGAAGTATTGTTCAAGAGTGATTCTTCTGTACGCTTGTACTACATACTACTTTATTCTGTGCTGTAGGTATAATAAATAGATAATAAGTAATACTTAATAAATAAATAATGAATGAAAACAATTCACTTACCGTTGTTTTTCTTTTCATGGGTACATTTTTAATGAAACTGTGCATTTCCTTGAACCAATTTAACTTTGACGTATATTCCTCTTGAGAACGAGCTCCAGACCTGGTTGATTTATCAATTTTTGACAGTTCTTGACAATAAGTTGCTCTTAAATTTTTTATTTTATTTTTTACTTCTTTGGTATTTATTTGTATACCCATTGTCAATAATTCGCCACACATTTTTTGTAGTGCTGAATCTCGCATAGATTTGTCTTTATAAAACGGAATGGTAGCGTTCCATAGACATTCCTTCTCACGGTACAATTGTACAAACTTTAAATTTATTTCGTTACTTAGTTTCGGCATCTCGTTGCAGAAACATACGTAGTTGCAGTCAGACAAACAAAACCGCGTGGACACTGCGCACTAGCCGAACGGATACTAGCTTCCCCGGCCACACGAAGCTAAACCGAAGTCAGCACAGCAAAATCAGTGGTGGGGGAAGCTTACTAGCTTTAAAAATAGAACGGCAAGCTATTAAACTATCCTGGCTTCAGACACTAGCTTACTAGCCTGGAGTAAAGCTAGTTTTGTATACACGAAGATAGATGCACTAGCTTGCTAGCTTACTAGCACTAGCTTGCTATCCTAGCTTACAAAACTAGCCTCGTGTAACCCGGGCATAACGGATGTATGTTTTGCTGAGAAATTTAAAACTACTTCATAGGCATATTTTAAGTAGGCTATCACGGTAATTCCATTAAATACTAGCATCGATGAATCGAGAAAATAAAGGCCACTTGTAATTAGCCAAGCAGTACTATTTAAACCCTAAAAGCCAAGATGCTATAGATGCCTGAGCATGTTTTGACGTTACACATTCCACAACGGGAAATACCGTCTGATTTGGCAGTGATACTACACTAGCGTAGTACAAGACATGCTTGCTTGATATGAAAGGTTTACGTACTACACTGCCAGTGGCATCTAGGTGTAACGTAGCAACGTTTTTAATTTCTTTTATGATGCTTAGCTGATCCTTGCTAAAAATATAAACTGTCAACGGCTGCCTAACAAATTGTATGTATTCCGTGTTCTCTCTTTGCATGAGAATTAAGTCAAAAATGTCGTCCTCATCTGTGTCAAGCCGTTTCGATGACTGAGTCTTTATCTTTCTGTACACAGTTAAAGACTTCACATTGCTGAGATTTTTGCAATGAACACTACTTTCGATACGTTTCGTACATGCTGCATCCGCATACTTAATGCAGTACGACGTTTCATATCTTGTAGCGCGTTAACTTTTCTCTATGATTAAAGTTTAGAGATGAACTTAAGACCTTGGCCATACCTTGACATTCCTTTAAATCTATTGTTAACAAAAATATCTTACATTCAGTATGGGCACAGTAACCATAAATCCTCCATGTATTCTTCTGTATCGAGAAATATGATTTTTTTATGTTTACCGTGTAAGTGGAATTAACTGATTTTATCTTTTCCTTTAATATAAATGGTAATGTGGTGTTTTATTGTTAACCTTACGTAGTTTATTTCGTTAGGTTTTAAATAGAATGTACCTTCATATACAGTACACCTTGAGACTTTTTTTGTACCATGTGGTAAAACTTTATAAGATTCCACAACAGATTGCCCAGCATTAAATATGTTTTTTACAGGAGTAGGAACTTAAGGAGAGTGACTACTTACATTTTCTGGTTTTGATCCTGAGACTGATTCATTATTACTACATTCTATTTCTGATGGTATATGTATTGTCTCAGTTTTTCCTTAATCAAATAAGAAAGTTAGGGTACGAAGTGATTACGTTTTGATACCTGTAGGTTGTCTTTTAGAAGCGTTTCTTTTACAGACGCCGGCAGATATTGACGGACGAAAACTCGGAATAAGATATTCCAATTCTTTTCGAATGTGTAAACCGTTTGTATCATTTCCATCTGGTAACGGTTGCACAAATCCTTAAAGTTGGGCAATTTTGAGGTGATTTAAATGCAGTGTGTCGTTTCTTATTTTTACTATTTAAGATATAGAAAAGACCAAACGTTCCCACCGTGTTCTTAGTTTTTCGCTATCTTTCTAGATAACGAAAATATTGGCCCGAAAAGTAGACGGAAATACAAGGAAAAAGTTTGTTGCTGGTCTGAACAACCATTGTGCAAACGTGTGATTGAGATGTGATATACCGATGAAAAGAGCAGAAAATTTCCCATAAGATAAATATAGTTTTAGAGTTTCCTCCCCGTCAGATAAGAGAGTTGTTGACACAAGCGTAGTTTAGCCGCGGCATTCGTGGCAACGTGACGTTTCTTATTTTTTCTTGCTCTCATTATCGCCAACTGTAGGCTTTTTTTCAGGAAAGTTTTTTTACAGACGCCGACAGATATTCACGGACGAAAACTCGGAATAAGATAGTGCAAGGTCAGCTCTTTCCGAATATGTAAACCATTTATTAAATTTCCATCTGGTAACGGCTGCACAAGGCCTTGAAGTTTGGTAATTTTGAGGTAAATTGAATGCAGCGCGACGTTTCTTATTTTTTCTTGCTCTTATTATCAACATATCGGCGGACGAAAACTCGGTTTAAGATAGAGAAAAGACCTTTGAGAGTCCTAAGCACACGGTTGGAAAGAGCTTTCCATTCGTGTGCTTAGTTTTTCGCTATCTTTCTAGATAACGAAGATATGGTAACTACCCGAGAAGTAGGTGGAAATATAAATGAAAAAGTTTGTTGCTGGGCGGTTTGTTGCACATCACCGATTTTGTGTTTATTGTCTACTAAGGTGGTTGTTCAATCTGCAATAAGTTATTGAATTTTCTACAAGAACAATCAGTTGTTTTAACCACTATAAAATAATATAACAACTAATTAAATAATAGTTGGCTTATCTCACAAATTGTTGGAATTTCTATTATCAATATTACAATGAAGTACATTATATACATTACCAAATTTTATTTTATTTTATTTTATTTGGGATGCAGACGGGACAAGCCCAGCGAAGCATCCACTAAAAATATACAATATTATAAACTAAAAACAAGAATTTAGCAATAAGTAACAAAAAAAATATCAAACAGGTTAACAAAAAATAGCAACAGAAATAAAATTTATCAAAAAAGTGAAACTTAAGCAAAACTAATAATCAAAAATATTGAAAAAAAAATCAATCAAAAAAAATAATTAACGTCGCAGTCAAACGGCGCACGAGATGCACATGGGAGGTCATTAACCAATTTCCTAAATGTAGACCGGGGAAAAGCAAACAAGTCTAAATCAGAACAAAAATTGTTAAAAGAAAACATAAGACGAGGGACCACGGAGTTAGAAAACGCATTTGTATTAGTACAAGGCACGTAAAATAACGATAAATCACGGGATGGTCGAACAGGAATCCTAAACTATAACTGAGATAGAATCGCGGAGCAGTCAACAGTGCCGTTACTCACTTTATAAAGCAATGAAATGGATATTTTAACAACTCTTGATTTATCTAATTCAAATACATTGGAACATTAATTTACAGTAGATACGTTAGTTGACAACTTATCTATGAATTTTTAACTAATTTGAAGTTGTTATTTATTCAAATTATTTTTCTCAATGTGGAATGAAACCCCTTGGGTGGTTTGAGAATAGTTTCATTCTTTGTGGAAGACCATTCGCATTTTTTATATCAACTTATTAAGTTCTTAATTTTTAATGTTAACTTATTTACACAAATCAATTGAAGTGAATTTTTGCAATTTATATTAGATTTTTATGTTAAAAATTAATTTTTCATATTTATTTGTAAACTTCTATTAATCGTTTGATAAGAGTAAATTTCTCTCGCTTTATAAAAGTAAGTTTCTACGTTAATCATTTTGTTTTATAAGCGTCGTTAACAAAATTTACCTTCTTAAAATTGTTTTTTGTATAAGAACAAACTTCTATGTTACAATTAGTTTATAATTTTTACTGTAAACTTTTTTGAATTGTTCATAGATACATTTTCCTTTAAAACAGTTTGAATTTAAAAAAACGTTTAAATGCAAATTTATTTTATAAAATTGTTTTCTGTATAAGAGTAAGTTTTTATGTTTAAATTAGTATATGTTTATTGTAAACTTTTTTAAATCATTTTCAAATATTTTTGTCTTTAGTAGTTTGTAAGCAACTTTAAAAGCTTGTTAAAATTATTATTTTTATTGAAAATACGTATATTTTTGTTATATTTGCTCTTAGTATCAATAAAGTTCACTTTTAAATTTGTTTTATTTCTGATTTTTTAAATAAATAAAAATAATAACAGAGTTGACCAGTTCAAATTTTGCGCCT